TGTTGAACACTCAGCTACTGAAGTACTGCTAGTGTCAAGGTTTTTGTAGGCACTTGCAGCCCAGCTCTGGGCAGTGTTTCTCTCAGGGAATGTGTAACCCAGAGGAAGCTGGGAAAAGATTGCAAACAACACAAAACAATAAAACCTTTATCTCTTGAAGCAATCTTTGTCTCTTAAGGATTTGTCCCTTTGATATTGGTGAAGTAAGGACCAGCAGTGTTTTCCAGGTTCTTACTGGAAATTCAATGAATTAGTCAGGACAATTGGCAAATGTGACAGATCACTGTTTATTTTGGGGCAGGAATAAAAAGAAAAGGAAAAGAGAACAAAAGAAGCACCCATGGAGAAAAGAACTTTGAAGGAAAAAAGATATTTCCTGCAAGTAGAAGGACAAGAAAGGCAGTGGGTACACAGTTGATTGTTGCTTTTTTTTGGTACCAGGGATCAAACTCATGACTTCGTGCTTGCCAGACAGGCGCTTATGCCACTGAGCTAAATCCCTGGCCCACTGTTATTCGTTTGATAATCTTTTTTGATAGTTGGTCCAGGTGGTTCCACTTGATCTTGCACTAAAAGATTGGCATCAAGTGCTAGGCTTGGCTTCTTCTCATGTCAGAAGATTGGTACTAGGTACAGGGCTAGCTGGGTCTCATGTCAGGCTTGGGAGCTGCTGCCCTGTGTCCATAGTAATAAGTGTCTTCAAATGGCAGGTCAAGCCCTAGTATCCTACTTTACCCTGCATGGAATACCATGTCATCTTTGAGGTTTCTCTTGTGTCACAGCCTCTCTTCCAAGCTGTTTGCATCTCCAAGACAGTGAACTACCCTTTTCTGTGTTAACACTCAGCCCTATACATAAAAACAGTTGTTTTGGGGGCTATATTGTTTTACGATAACTGGTGTATGATCTTCATGGCTAGGTAGCTTTTGTTGTATGGAAACAGAAGCTAAGAGGGACTAAACGATGTAGGCATGCAAGAATATAGTGACAGAGTGTTAGAACTGATGCTTACTCTGCCTTTCCAATTTGGGTTTTAAACTTTTCCTTTTCTCTTTCTTTCTTTCTTTCTTCTTTTTTTTTGACAAGGTCTTGTGCTGTAATTTAGGCTGGTCTTGAACTCACATCAATTCTCCTGCCTCATGAGGATTACAGGCACGCACCACCACACCTGGGAACTTTTCCTTCTCACAATGTTCCAGAATTCCTTCTGCTACTATAGCCATCACAGTCTTTTTTTGAGGGAGGATATAGTCCTTCTGTTCCTTGTGTTTAAATTTTTTAAAATAATTTTTATTGTGTATATTGAAGCCATACATGTTGCCATGTATACAGTAAACAGATTACTAGAGTATAGCAAATCAATACCCAGCGTCTCAGTTATTGTTTGTGATAAGAACAGCTAAACTCTATTCATTTCGCACAAATCCCACAGGCAGCATGTTGGGTCAGTTGCTTCTCCACCTTTTAACACTTTGTAAAAGCTAAACTCTTTCCCCCACCTCCTCCACCCCTTTCTGGCAACTAGCTATTGAGTTTTGTTCGCTCCCCAGTTCTATGTCCCTTCCCCGCCGAACACTTTAAAGAAGCATTTTGGAATCTGAGATTGAGCGGGGATGAGTCACTGACCCAAGACTTGTAAGAAGTGGTAGTGACTTTAGTTTTAGCTAACCTCCAGACTTTAGCTGCAGTCCGAAAATAACTCTTTCTTCACTTTCACTCTATCCTCTTGCTGACTCTACTCAAGCGGCTCAGCAAGATTCCTGGGTTGGGATTTTTATGACCTTGATTCTAGTGTCAGGTGAAAACCTCCAAACTGGGTCTGGTGCTGCATTTGGAAGGCTGAGGCAGGAAGACTGCCTTGAGTTCAAGGCCAGCTTGAGTCACACAGTGTGTTTAAGAAGGCAGCCTGGATACATAGCAAGACTGTCTCAAAAAACAAGCAGCCCCGTTGACTACTAGCTTTAGTTTCTTTCAATGGGGTAACATTAGTTTTGTCTATCCCCTTAAATACTTGAGCCAGACTGTTTATTAGTACCCTTCTCCCTATAGTCTCTCAGATAAAGTTAGGCTCTGGACAACAAAGACTGGGAATAAGGCCAGTGTTTACTGTTACTGAGGATCCACCCAGCAGACCAACAAAGAATCAGGAATTTCTAATTCCTTCAGCAATTTGGAGCTCTGAGAACATCTATCCACTCAGGAAAGCTGGGAAAGGTGGCCTGCTCTTTGGGATACTATTTTCCTTATCCCAGTGTATTATAATTATGTAATCCACTTGCTTCCTACTATCCTATGAGGGTTTTTTTTTTTTTTTTTTTTTTTGAGACCGGGTCTCGCTATGCAGATCAGGCTGGCCTTGAGCTTACTTTGTAGCCTAGGCTGGTCTCGAACCTGCAACAATCCTCCTGCCTCAGCCTCCCGAGTGCTGGGATTACAGGCAGGAGCCAGCATGCCCCGCTACCCTATGAGTTCTTAAACTATATAATCTGTATCTTATTCTATTCATTGATACCTTCCTGGCCAGCATTCTCCTGCACATAGAAAATGAAGCCTCTGGCTTCTATCATTATCATTATCCTACTACTTCCTGCTCTTAGCAAAGCAAGCCAGAATGAATCTTAGTCAAGATTCCTTTTCTGTTCTGATCTTCCAATCTTATTTTCTAACTGTCCTGGCCTCTTCACTATTTCTAACATTTTCAGGAATGCTTTTGCCACATCTGCATGGTTCCTTCCTTCAATTCCCCCAAGTCTGGTTAAAATTGTATTATAAATGGGGTTCACCCTGATAGCTCGATTTATTGTTTCATTGTTTCTTCTTCTAGTGTTCCTTATAACCCTTAGCCTACTTTTTCCTAGCGCTCTCAACACCTATTTCACAATTCTGTCCCCTAGAATAAAAGCTCCAAGAGGTAGAGTATTTTTCTCTCTTCTCATTGACACTTCTTGAGCACTAAAATACCTTAGAAGGGCTAGAGATTTAGCAGAGTGACAGCGCCCTACCCGGCAAGTGTAAGGTCCTAGGTTCGATTCCTGGTACCCTTTCATCCAAAAGTACTGCAGAATCTGCGAACTAAGTAGTGATTGGCAAATATATGTTGGGTGGACGAGAAAATGAATGTTGAGAATCTTGTTAGAGTACTATAAAGAAAAGGTGTTATGTGACGACTTTGAATCCCCAGGGACGCAGGGCATGGAGTTGCTTGGCAAAGGGCAGGTGTTTAATATTTGCTGAAGGAATGGAGTGCTCAGATCTTAAAATACTGGAAGTCTTTATCTGATCTCTTTGACAGAAAAATAACTTTCCAAGGCCAAGTCACTCAGGTCTCTCTTATTCCTCTCATCCAATTAACCTAGCGTTTATCTAAAGAATGCCTCCGTATTCAAATATGAAACATTTATGGAGTTTAAGTGTCCTCAGTGCTGTACAGAGAGTAGGTTAATGAAGCAACAGCAAATAATGTATCGCAATGTAATTAAGCGTGCAATTACAGGGAAGATTATCAGTGCTAACAGTTCAGAGACTCAGTGAAGACTGACGCAGAAGTAAATCCCAAAGTCCAGCAGGCGTCGGAAATACCTTTCTTAATGCTCCCTCCACCTGTTGATAGCAGGACTATAACTCAGACAGTGACCCTGAGAGTCTGAAGGCCTTTCAGAGTTCCAAGTCCTTTGTTTAGTAGAGAGAAAATATGACTCCGCAAAAGAAAGGCCACCGCAGAAGCGGGCCTAGAACCCGCAGCTCGTGAGGTTTTTAAGAGCAAGTGTCCTCAGGGAAGATCCGCTTCTGCCTTCGCAGGGCCCTGTACCTCCTCGGTGTGTGAGGTCGGAAAGGGGCCAGATTTCTTGGTGAAGCTTCGGTGCCTGCCACTACGCTGAGGTGGCACAGGTTGGAAGGCAGGGAGAGAGGTCACGAGGCCACATTCCATATGGTGCACGGGACCCCTGGAAACGGTCCGGGGCCGCAGGTCCTAGCAATCATCGACTGCGGGGCAGCTTTTGCCAACTGCATTCCCCAGACGTCACTCTGAGGGACAGGGACCAAAATCGCACGGAACTGTGCGCGGCAATTGTTAACACCAGTAACGCGGCGGTGGAGCCACTGAAGTCCCAGGGCACTATTTGCCTTGGCGGAGGAATCCAGTGTAAGTCGCGAGATCGCGGAGGGCCCTGACGCTACCGCCGCTGCCGCCGCCGTCGCCGACGCCAGTACGGTGGCGCAGAGACGTCGCGGGAGGCGAGGGAGGCGGGGGCGTGGGGGGGCGTGGGTCGGTAAGTAGTTCCGGGTGCGCGGCCCCGGATGTTGGCTGCTCCCGCTGCCGCCGCCGCTCTCGGCGCTGCTTCGGGCCCTGGCGGCTCACAACAGGCGCTATTGGGACCCTTCTTAGGGGGCGGAGTCGCACGCAGCGGCCGGGGGCTCGGCCGGGCCGTCCCGGCCTGCGCAGCCTGAGGTGAGTGCCAGGCGCCCGCGCCGCCGGGCCGGGGCGACGGGCGAGGAGGCGGGGCTGGGGCATCTCCCGGGACCGAGGCAGGGGTTGCCCTCCGCGAGACGCTTTCTGCTTTCTCAGCCGCTGCGCGCTGCGTGGTGAGCGGCGGGCGGGGCGGGGGCTCTGGCCGGGCCTGGCGGGGCGCGAGGCTTGGGTGCCTCCCTCCCCCACGGCGCTTCTCAGCTGCTGCTGCCCCTCAGCTGGGGAGCGGCGGCTCCGCGCCTCCGGCCCCTCCCCCAGATGGGGCCCGGGGGAACCGGACGTAGATCGCTGAGCTCGGAGTCCGAGGGCAGCGGGCGTCTCCTCTCCGCGACTCGCGCCCTCGTCTGGGCCAGCCCCCGGGCCCCGGCGCGATGCGAGTCCTTCTCTTCAAGCCTGTGGGCGCTTTTCGGTCCGGAAGGCGGCTAGTACCTTGTGCCTTCGGGGTGCCCTTCGGCGGAGGAGGCCCTCGCGAGGGGCCTGCGTTCCCGCCCATTCTTTCGCTGTGTCCTTTGCTGGCATTGGGGCAAAGGCAGCCGTTCCTTGCGGATGTGTTGGTGTCCTGTGTGTGTTGCATCCTGCCCACGTGGTAGGGTGTCCCGTCCCCCCCATCCTCTCCATTTTTGCAGCTGGTGAAGAGGGAGGTTAACGGGATGGTTTTTCCTTTGGTGATTTCCTACGGGTGATGTGGAAAGTGCTAAGGTCAGTTTGCTTTGCAGAGCCCTACAGTTGGTTAGATAGAAGAAACCAAGAGTTTTGTACTCTCTGAAATTGAAATCAGTAAGGGACATACCAGAGCTTAGTTTCATTGACTTTTTTTCTCATCTCCCATCAGCTCTTCTTTCTCTTCTCTCGATCCTAAAATGAGAATAAGCTCCTGTTACTGGTGCTTTGATGCGTATAGTTTTCATATTTCTGTTTTATTTTTTGTGTGTATGATTGGCAGAGGTTTTCCATTTTGGTTGTTGCACTAGTTTATGGCGTTCCTAGATGTATTTATTCCTGAATGAGTAGAGTTGGGGATTGTATCATGTATTTTCTTTTTCCTAACAATTATTTTATTTTTCCTTCTACTGTATTTTGTTCCCTCGTGAAGAAGCATACATGTCATATAGGTGTGTTATATATAGTTTTTTCTTGCAAGATAGCAGTAGTTTCACTTAGTTTCCTTTTTTGTGGAAGTCCTTTTATTTCACTTTTCTTTCTGTTGACTATGTTGGACTCTAGACACCGGTTTAGAAACATGCGGTTTGTATACTTTTTTCCCTCCTATAATGTCCTTTCCAGGTTAAGTTTCCATCGTCCTGTGTTTAGCTTTTTTGAGACCACAGATTGCTCTCTTTACAGGGAAGAGACTACTGTAACAGTGAGAGAAATCTTTCATTCCTTCTAGACCTTAGCACATACTTACAGTAAAGCAGTACATCTCTTAGAGTTTTGTTTCTTCCCTAACTGGGTGGGGTATATAAATGTGGTTGACTTTTTTAGTTTCTTAAGTAAATCTGAGAAGTTGTCTTTTTCTGGTCTTGTGTTGGAGTTACCGAGAGAATCTTGTTCTTGGCTTTGTGCTGCTGAAGATCCTGGAGAGTTTCTCATTCCATTATGAGATTTTTTTGGATGAAGCCAGAACATAATTATTTTGGCCTTTTTAGTTAGTTAGTTTGGGTGAAATAAAAAATTTTACTGTTTCGAAGTCACTCAGTTCCTAAATAGCTAGCATTCTGTTGTTTTTCATATTATGTAGTCTTTTTGAGAATGAATTAAAATCATGTGTGTGTGTGTTATTGGAAATTGAACTCAGGCCTTCATATTGAATTGTATCTCAGCCCTTCTAGAAAATTTTTTTATTTCAAGACTAAGTTTTGCGAAGTTGCCCAGGCTGGGGTTGAATTTGGAGTCACCCTACCCAGCTTCCAGAGTGCTGAGATTAGAAGAGTGCACCATTATACTAGCCTTGAGTTATATTTCTAATAATTGTTTTATTTCTTTTATTGGGTATAATTGTTAGTATAGTCTTCCTTTTTCTTTCTACATAGAACAAAAACACTGAAATACAGATCGTGCCTGCTTTTACTGTGCTAAGTTATGGGTGGGGCAGTGGAAAGCAGTGATTGTCTTTTGATACAATGTGAAACATTTTTTAGTAAGTCAGTCAACATTTGTGTACTGTACTTCTGCAAAGGACCGAGCTGCCTATTTGTGAAGTAGTCTTATGAAAAAACTTGGAAACTAAAATAGGGGTCTCTTTGAAAAACTCAACAGTTGTTGAAAGAGGAACAGAAGTTTCTTTTGTTGGAGAAGCAGCGCTTGTACATCAAAATCACTGAACAACCAGGTATGGTGGTGCCTGCCTGTAATCCTAGCACTTGGGAGGCTAAGGTAAGGAAGATTGCTGTCAATTCAAGGCCAGCCTGGGCTACATAGTAAGTTTAAGGCTACCCTGAACTAGATAGCAAGACCCTGCCTCAAAAAACGAAAACAAACAGACAACCTACAAAATCACCAAATAACATCCAACTCCTGTTGGAGTTAAAAGTGCAACCAAGGTCAAAGATTTATGTGATATGTGAGAAAAATTCACAAAGTGGAAAGAGTTTTTCCAGGAAATCAAAGAGGCATGTGCAAAGGCAGAGAAATGGCAATAGACAAAAAATATGAAGGACCTTGACTGTCACAGATAATCTGTATTGGTGAATAATAAGTGAAGTTGGGATTGATGAGGGTGTTCATGGAGGGTCTTTCAAGGATAGAGTTAGTTTGATCGGGTACTCTAATTCTCTTCAGAAAGTGGGGAGACCAAGGCAAAAGGGTCGTTGCAAGTTTGAGGCCAGCCTGGGCTAGGAAAGTGAGCTCAACGCCAGGCTGAACTGCCTAGTGAGACCCTGTCTCAAAAAGCCAAAAAACAAACAAACAACAAAAAGAAGGAGTAAGATGTCCTGACATATAAGGTACTGGTTGAATAGCTAACATTAAGTACTTATGTATGCCAGACATTTTTCTGAACTATGTGTATTACCTTACTGAAACGTAAGGGACTTCAGGCAAGTTACTAAACCTTATGCATTTAATCATTATCTAGAGAAAGGAAATGCAGATTTTGTAGTGACTGGACTATAACTGGTAGTAAAATGTGAGTAGATATGTATAAGATGGGAAGTATAATGGAGAAGGCTTTGAGCTTTGGAATTTTGAGTCACATAATAGACTAATAGGTAAAACATTCTGAGAAGAATCAGGAAGTACATTAGTGGCACAGAAACCAAAGATAGGAAGATTTTTCCACCACAAAGGTTGATAGTACCAAATTCAGTCTTCCAGTTCAGACACAGTGACTATAGTGAAGACGGTTGAACTAGACCAGGAGGAGGTGATTCATAACCATAGAATTTTGAAAGGAAAGATAATAGATGCCAGATTTGTTATTAGTAGGATTTGTAGAGATATAATGGTCTCATGATAATTTTCATTATTTTTTCCTAATTCCTACCTCAGCCTGGGTCTCAGTCTAGTTCACATGTCGGAGCTCACTAATTTTTTTTTTTTAAAAAAGTGTTTGAGACAATTCTAATTTAGCAGTTCTCTTCTTAATCTTTTCAGAACAGCTTTATGTATTGAGATAAAATTTACATTCCATAGAATCTATCTATTTAAAGTATACAGTTCAGTGGTTTTTAGTGTCTTCACAGAGGACAACCATAACCACAGCAGTTTTTAGAATAACATTTCAAAAAGAAATTTGGCTGGACGTGATGGCACATGCTTATAATCCCAGCTCTCTAGGAAGCTGAGGCAGGAGGATAACAAGTTCAAACCTATTCTGGGAAACGTAGCAACTTAATGAGGCCATGTCTCAAAAAAATGTACTGGCTCAGTGCAAGGCCCTCGGTTCTCGATTCCCAGTGTCACGAAAGGGGGACTCTTGTATCCATTAGCAGTCACCTCCCCAACTCCATACACACATAGTCCAAAGCAAGTCAGTAATGTATTTAACATGTCTATTGATTTGCTGGTTCTGTACATTTCCTATAAGGGGAGTCATGCTGTTTTCATTTCAGTCTTTTGTGTCTGACCTCTTTTGCTTAGTGTGTGTTTCAGTGGTTATCCATGTTGTATGTATCAGCAGTTCCTTTTCATTGTCAAATAATATTTTATTATGTTAATGTACTACATTTTTGACTGTTCGTCAGTTGATGCACATTTAAGTTTCTTATTCATCTTCATCAGTTCTTCACATTACAGTCTTTGTAGCCTTCCTGGCAGATTATAACCTCTGTTGTACATTTTAGTAGGCCTTAGGGGTATGAAAATGAGTAATACATGGGCCCTGAGCATTTATTTAGAGCTTGAATGGATTGGGTATGTTTTCTCATGCATTATCTCATTTGATCTCACAATAACCCTATAATGTAAAATGAGCAGTTTGAAATTTGGGTCGGGAGGCTTGCACATTTAAGTCTGTGGAGCAGTAATGGAGCAAATAATTTTTGGCTTGTGTTTGTGCTGTTTCTTCTAGTATGTGCTGCTTTTCTAATTTAGAGGATCCCCACGAAAAATTCTAGAGACTTAACAGGGATTACTTACTTGAGTAGTCACTGAATTTTAATGATTAATCTTTAGCATGTCAAGACTTCAGACTTTGTCTTTCAGAACTTTAATAGGAATTAAGATGGTGATGACAATAATGATAAATAATAATGGCTAACATTTTTTGAGGCGTTACTGTTGGCACAAAAATGATGTAAATACTTTTATTATATAATCCTCCCAACTCCTAAGAGGTAGATTTTATTATCATCAAAGTGTTACAGATGAGGAAATAGGCATAGAAGGATTAAGTCGCTTGTTCAGAGGTACATAGCTAGGAATAAAGAGCCAGGATTTGAACCCTTGCTGTCTGTTTTCAGAATTTAGTAGCTCTTAATCACTGCACTGTTCTGTTTACTAGTTATAAATTAAAAGAGAGTAATATTCCAAGTAAGAGCATGACTAGGAATATGCAGATAGGATTTTACCAAAGTTAACTTGACATTGCATCCACCTTTTCTTTAAATATGGACCTAACATTGTAACATTATAGTATACAAAGATAAATGCTTAAATATTTGGGTATATTGTTTTTGTTTGTCCTTGCTAATAGTCTCTCAGCTTAGAAATCACATTGTTTTCACTGCTCTCTTGGCTTTTTAGTTGTTTTGCTTTCCATATAGTCACTATTAGGAAACCTGGGCTTGCGACAGCTAATGCTCATTTTTAACCTTTCCAAAGCCTTCTTTTAACTGTTAAATTTTTTTTCCACTTTGAACAATTAGCCTTTCAGTCATAGAGAGGGAGATAATTCTTTACCTACTCCATTCCAAATCAGAAAATACTGCATCACAGTGGCATTTTATAACAATTGTTAAAAATTTTGATGATCTTAATTGGCATAACTGGGTCTTAGTGCACAAATAATAAAAGCACAGTCTTTTGGTTTAAAGAGATTGACTTACACTGAAATTGGAAAAGGCATCTGCTGTACAGGATTTTTGATTTAATAGAATTTGTTATAACCAGATCAGCAAAGCATTATTACTGTGGACCATCTGTTGGGATATGGAAGTAGCTTTGTTACATGGAACCAGATGTTATACTTATGTTTTTAACAGCATTCTATGTATTTTAAGTACATTTTGTTCTTAGATACCTTCTACTGTTATTCTACT